GTGGAGCTGGAAGCTGAGAACTGGCGACTTTGTAGTACAACTTTAGTCCGCGGATGAGTCATCTCTCGCGGCTGAGTCATCTCTCGCGGCTGCTCTGGCGCCCCTGCAGCTGAGTCATGTCTCCCGACCACCCGGCTCTCGAGAGGTTGACAGAGACTCATACACACACACAGACATAGATACACACACACAGAGACCCACACACTGCCTCAACTCACTCGACTTAACACTTCACACTGAACACTTAACAGATAACTCACACTCTGACTTCCTACGTGATGAAACATGCTTTCGGGCCACTCGTCGTCTAGTTTTCTATTGAAAAAACACCCAAATGGTGGAATAGTATGCTTCTGAAGGTGGCGTGTGAGGCGTGGCAGGGCTCGCAGGGGGCTCCTCTCCGGCTCGGTGGACAGATCCACTACCCAGGATGACTCTTCACCTTGGGGTGACTCTTCACCTCGACTGGATGGCACTGTAGAAAACAAAAACGTGAATTTGGGATTGGCCCACCAAAGCCTGGAAGAATCGAGGTCCTCCAACCAGGCGAACTGGAGACATGGCTGGATTGCTGGCCACAACAGCATCGACCCAACAGAGCCGCCGCGGGGCGGTTTTCGGCGGTTTCGACATGCGGTTTCTATTGGCCATTTTTGGTTTGCAGTGTCCGGCCCTAGGAGAGCCAAATGCATACCGGTCAAGCCGGATCATTCCCAAAAGCAAGCCAATTCAAAGGATACAAAAGGCCAGAAATCATCTTGACCCAAGATAGTTTCTAAGCAAGAATTGAGTCAAAGCTGTTTGGGGAATCTTCATCTCAGCCCAGAATCCAAAATCATCTGCCTGCACTGCTGCTTTGCGCCTGAACCGGGACTAGGTGGAACAGGATTCCTATTTAGTCTGCCTCAAAGTGCCCTTACAACACTTCCACTGGTTGGCGAGGATGAGACCTATCCAATTTCCACTTACTGTCTTACCCTAGGAATCCTTGGGCTCTCCATGGCAGGGGTCGGACCCGACACCGAAACGCCCCTCAAAACCCTATCCCAGACACTCCATGACACTATATATATTTACCGATCAGGCCAGGGGTGGTGGTGCCAGAGGGGGTGAATGGGGCGGCAGTCCGACATGGCAGTCCCATGGATCGTCGTGTTTGGGTGTTGCTTCGGGCCCGGATTCGGGTAATTACAAACCTGGCAGCTGCCTCCCCACCCCCGTACCGGACCGAAGCACCGACGGACCAGGATGTTCCGCTTTGCGGTGGCCAAGAGCCATCGCTTCGTCAATGAGAACAAGCACTTGCCCCTTCGCTGTGATGATGGAAGGCGGTCAGTTGACACCAGTGACCAGCCAGAGAGGTGTGAGGGGTCCAACGATGGAGACGTGGGGCGATAGAGAAAACACTGCGACCGTTGGAGTTAGAGAACCCCCCCCGCTCCGGCTGGCCGAGCCGAGCCCATTGGTTGGCCAGAGCCCAGTGGTTTTGGTGGGAAGTATTTGTGAAGACAAGATATGTTCCAGAGAATCATAGAGGAGGTCTTGTATCCGCCCAGCTGCCCCAATCTGGTTGGGATCCTTTCTGAGTGTCAGTGACCATATAATGGCTGAGCCGACCCAGGAAAAGTGGATCACCTGCCACACCTTTTGAGGGATTGGATTTCCTAAGTTCGAACCACCTTTTCCAGGCTTTGAGGCCGCGGGTTTTGGGCCAAAAACCATATTGTCGAGGTTCTGGTTGGTTGAAAGGCTTGATCAACTCGTCAAGGTCTTTTTCAGGGACCATGGTTTCCCTTCCAAGCTTGGAACGGGTCAGTGAGGGTCAGTGGGTGATCCGTTGCTCCGATCCGGGACACCGGTCCCATTGGACGCCGGGAGACGTGGAAGGCTTTTTTTCCAGGCAGAACATGTGGAAGGCGAACACCCAGAAGGCAAGGGGGATACCTATCAAAAAGAAAACTAATTCCTATCAAAAAAACATTAATTCGTATCAAACATAAAATTTCCCCTACTCCTTTGGTCCTGGTCGCTTGGTCCTTTGGTCCCTTTGTCCTGGTTCCTTGGTCCCCTGGTCCCTTGGTCCCTCTGGTCCCTTGCTCCTCTGGTCCCTTGGTGCTCTGGTCCCTTGGTCCTCTGGTCCCTTGGTCCTCTGGTCCTTTGGTCCTTCGTCCTGGTCTTCGGGTCCTTGAGTCTGTACTTTCGAGGCAAGACGCGTTAAAGGTGATTGGAAATCTGGTCATACATCCTGTGAAGCACCGTAGCAGACCTTTTATCGCCAGACGTAGCACACCTTTTTTGTGAGCCACCCTGACGGTAAAATTTAGACGAAGAAAGTGCCATTCCAAGGTAGCAAACCTTTTGTGAGCCACCTGAGGGCAAAATTTTGAAGAGGAAGGAGCCATTCCAACGTTGCAGACCTTTTGTTAGCCTTGCGAGGTTGAAACTTAGAGGAAGAAGTTGCCATTACAACGTAGCAGGCCTTTGTTTTGTGAGCAACCCGGGGGTAGAACTTGCTATTCCAACGTAGCAGACCTTTTGTGAGCCATGCGAGGGCAAAGTTTACAGGAGCAGACCTGTTGTCAGCATAAACTTTAGAGGAGGAAGGTGCCATTCCAACATAGCAGACCTTTTGTGAGCCATCCACAGGTCTTGTGGTTTTGTGAGCCATCATCGTGAAATTCAGACAGATCACGGTTGAGATGCAGAGAGATCTACATCTACAAAGATCCAGAGGCCTGGACATCCAGACGGATCTGCAGGTGTAGAGGTCTAGAAACCCGCAGACCTAAAGATGGAGGTTTAGAGGTCTTGAGTCTTGAGATCCAGGGAGGTGTTGAAATCTAAGTTCTATACTTGCAGAGGGTGTAGAAAGATGTTCAGATCCAGAGATATCAAGAGCTCTTTTCACAGGTCTTCAGATCCACACAAACGCCACGCAAACTGCACTACAAGGTTCGCAATCGCTGCGCTTGCCACGAAATCTGCGCTTATAGACAGAGGTTCACGCAATCTGCACTTTGAGGTTCACGAAGTGCTGCGCCTGCCATGAAATCTGCAGTTCCAGCGCACAAAGTGCTGCGCCTGCCACGAGCCCTGCAACTGAAGGTGCTCAAAGTGCTGCGTACAAAGTGCCGCTCCTGCCACGAAACCTGCTACATGGAGGTGCTCAAAGTGCTGTGCCTGCCACGAAATCTGCACTTCCAATGCGCAAAGTGCCGCTGCTGCCACGAAACCTGCTACTGGAGGTGCTCCAAGTGCTGCGCCTGCCACGAAATCTGCAGTTCCAGTGCACAAAGTGCCGCTCCTGCCACGAAATCTGCTACTAGAGGTGATCAAAGTGCTGCGCAGGCCACGAAATCTGCAGTTCCAGTGCACAAAGTGCTGCTCCTGCTACGAAATCTGCCACTGGAGATGCCCAAAGTGCTGCGCGCGCCACGAAATCTGCACATCCAGATTCACATTGCGCAGCGCTGCCAAGGCGGTTTGCAGTGGCAGGCGCAGCTCTTTGTGAGATATATTTTGTTTTTGATACAAATTAATTTTCTTTTTGATAGGATATACAAATTTTCTTTTTGATATATATATATATATTAATTTTCTTTTTGATAGCCCGGCCAAGGCAAGGTAGGTTAGTGGATCACCTGCCACACCTTTTAGATCCTTTTAGGAATGTGTTTTTGTCCCCCAGTAATATAGAATCCCAGTTCTGCAAAATCCATGGTTTCCAGGCAATCGGCTCGGGAGAATGCCCCAGCTTAGCCGGAGTGTTCAACATTATTTCGCGACCATCCATGGATGAACATGTGATGAAAAGGTATATACTTACGTTGGATGGTCATAAATGAGGTAACCGTTCGACTGTTTCATACACATGCTCCATGGAGGTATGCTCCATGGTTTGGGATGACCGGTCACCCCTATGTACAAGGTCCAAAAAAGCCACCGGTCTCTGCAGGGCGTTGATCAATGATGAACAACTCCGACCGAGGGCGGTTTCTGGATCCTATCATCCCCAGTGGATCCCAGTTACCACTATAAGGTGAAACATAAACTGCGGAGCGCATCAAAAGTCAGCAGGTGTGAGTTTTAATATAAGGAACCAGGGATTCGTTCGGTCTATGGTTTTTGTCTTTGGAACCACTGGGACTCCCAGCTATAATGGTTTGCCTGGAAGCCCTGGGATGCAAATACGACGGTTGATCAATAAAGCACTCCGAAGCCTGAAGAGCTTTGACCAGGAAAATGTATTGGGGGGGGTTTGGTGATGTTTTGGTGAATCCAGATTTTACTTGACTCGGACCATTCGGATTCAATGATTTGTGTCCCCCCACCATTTGACACTCCTGTCAGCGCTTCCAACCAGCTTCACCCCACGTGTGAGTCTCACTCCCCTCGCCGCCAAATGGGTCCAACCCATCTAACATGGCACCCAGAAACCCTGATGATTCCCACAGAGTAAGGAGCCGAAGAGCGCGAACCAGTCGTCAACTCACAGCTCGACCCTGACGTCCGTCCTGGTCCCATGGAAGACGATGTTCCTCTACCAACTGGGGGCTTTTCAGGTTCCATGGGATCGTCTTCCAGGGTGTAGACTACTAGCCGGGTCAAGCTACCTTGGCTTGACCCACAGCGGTGTTGACGCCGTCGGGCCGCTTCGGCACCTTCAGTCAGCTACTGGAGACCTCGGGTAAAACGCGGAAAATCCTGGAGACTAACGTCCTCCAAGCGCAATAAGAAGCAGCTCGACAGTTTGAGTTCCTCCAAAAAACAGATCTTCGACAGATCTAAGCTCTACATCTCTTCACCGAGCTCGAGCTTGGTGCACGGCTTCAGCCAGCTCGTTTTTAAGCGAAGCTTTGCAGGCTCCATCCTATGGCTGTCACATGTCGCGTTCTGTTTTTCTGTATTTCTTTCTTGCTTTTATTTATGCCCCCTCCGCTAAAACATATACATTTTGAGGAGTAATTATTCAGTTGGCAATCACGTTTTTCTAAATTACTTGTTCTTCTCAGAGAATGTGATCATTTTGGTGGAAACCTAAGTCTGATCATGAAATTACTTGGCATGCTCCCATCGTGCCTTGGATCAAGCTAGGGTCATGTCTCCTTGAGAAATAGTCAAGAGGTTGCGGAGAGGCTGCGCCTCCCTCAATTAGGAATTATGATGAGTTAGGCCATCAACTAGCATTGATCGTGCGTATAAAGTGGTCCATTATCTTTGTTGGTGCCTGATACTCAAATGTGCATGTACCTATGTAATGTAATGTAATGTTATGTAATGTTGTGTAATGCTGAGATGTGTAATGTTGTGTCATGTTGTGTATGCAGAGCTTGCGTGTTTTGTGGATGCGGTTTCGTTGATGCCCCATGTGTTTCTCGATATTTAACCTCAAGAGCTTCATCGGGGGGTCCCAAGCCTTTCATGGACCGCGGCGCCGTGAGTTGGGGTCTGATCTTTGGATCCCATTTGGCTAGATCTTTCCTCGACGGGACCCAACGTGATTCCTTGGAGACCGAGATTGCAGGTCTTAGGGTCGAGGTCTTCCGGGCCAGGGAGCTGGTCACAGGATTTAATTCTGTCCTTGAAGCCTGCGAGCGATCCAACAGTTGGCTGAGATCCGTGAACCAGGTGGTCTTGTCGGTGATCGCATTCACTTTGATTACAGGGCTGGTTTTGGTTTGCATTGCAAGATTTCAGAGATTTGGATTGGTTATCAAGGAAGAGCCTGGTGTGCCTGTTCCACTCCCAGTGAGTGACCTGACACAGTCACCCTCTGGCCGGACTGGACCCGGACGTCCGTCTGATCGGCTTCGCGCTCGAGACGAACGAGCTTAGTCATGGATCGGACGCTCAACATTCCGGATCCTCAAGTCTTGATCCACTACCCTGGGGATGCGAATGGTTACTTCTACCACCACCGCCTCCTCCTCCACAAGATTGGAGGCGGCCAGTGGGTCGCGCTGACGCCCGACTTGGACCTTGAGGTCCAGGACCTGGGCACAAGGCGGCATCGAGTCTTGGCCCGGCACGCGCCCTTCCCAGCTGACATAGCGGCTGAGTGCTACATCTTTGATGAGATCTCCAAGGCTGAACTGGAGAGGCAGAAGCGGTTAGCCCGAACCATGGGGTCGATCCTTGATGGTTCACAGACCGTGAACGTGGATGAACAGCAGTGGTATGTTGCTGACCCCTCATCGACACGCTTTGGGCAGGCCATTCCTGCTGAACTGGTTGGAGACATTGTGGCACTTGGGCAGTTCGGAGTCGTGCAATGGGACGATGAGACTGAGTTTGTGAAGGAGAT